CAACTATCATATAAAAAAGAAGATTAGCATTGCATAATGTGAGGTATGTTGATGACAAACACATGTGCTACAGCGCTAAAGTCTTATTGTTGACGAACATAAATTTGGGTTACGATTGATTGCGCAATTTTCAGTGAACTTTTGAAAAGGTAACCAAACTCTGCTTAGAAAGCCCACCAAATAACTACACACGCAGTCATCCTACATCACTCTGACAACTAGTAGACTGCTTATCGAGCACATAAGTTGTCGGGTTTCGAGTAACTCCGTTTACAATTTACCAACGCAAATTGCAAGGTAAACTTAACGAATTTTCTATCCTTCAGGGGAAATTGAGTGTGGTGCTTTGGACTTTTTAGGCTACCAGTGTAACATGCGGGTTCAAAGTTTCCATTATATAACACATCGAACACCCCATGTCCCCAAATTTGTGTAAAATATCTAGTGTCTATAGATAACCATCCTACCGAACGCTTGAGTTTCCCGCGCAATCTATTACAGCAGCAACCCACGGAGACTATGAGATATGACTCTTTATATTACTTCTAGGGCGCTTCCTAGTCCTTGATGTTGACTGCTTCTCACCATCAGCCACTGTAAAGTAGCGTCTTAAATTGCCTAACTAAAACAAACCAGCACCATGTAGACCCAGCGTTTACCTCAAATGCATCTCGTAACGACTCAGATGTGGATGCCACCGAAAGTTAACAAAAATACATCATTACTAGTTGATGTTTGGTGGCACGTAAGCAGTATTTATTTTATTCTCCTTGTAAATGACCATTTAAAACCTTAGCTGAAAATGTTTGTCCCTTGTTTACACATGTTGGATGTGACCAGATGGCGTTCAACCTTCTCCAACTAACAGACACCAGAAGTAAAAAAATACCTAATACCTATAAAAATACCTAATATAAGCATGTTGCAGGGCCTTAACAAACATACCTTAGTATGTCCTGTACAGGCCTCCAGTGGATGAATATTGGGTTCTTTTTTCGTCGATTCTTCCGATTTAGTATTTGAATCAATAAACGACAGTCGTCCGCCAAGTTTATACAGCTCTTGCTTGAGTTGCCGGTTGAAAATGTTAGCTTGAGGTAACTACGATGAAAATAAAAGCGATGGTGAGTGATGAAAATTAAATTGATTTTTTTAAATGGAGTAATTAATAATTTTCTCCGCCATATCATGTTTTCAATTACTCCTCTCAGGCAGAACGGCCTAAATTCTTGCCATAAATTCTCAAGATCTTGCGTGAAAGCACAAAAAATTTCTTAATGCACGATGCAATCGGTTTAAAACGTAGCGGCAAGACTTCTAGTGTCCTGAAAAAGTGATTTTGCGGATATTTCTTGACTTCTACTACCGCTTGGAATATCCTCAAAAGCCTAAGGCCGGTTTCGCTCCTATTGAACCTTAGCAAGTAAATCAAGTACCTGAGTTCTCGCCAATCTTCATTATTTGAACCCACTTAGCAAACAATTCAATAAATGCACCCATTTGTAAACTACGTTTGTGTCAACAAAAGACGCGGCTGAAGTCAGTTAAATCTTTTGTCCTTGGCACACTTAGAATGGATATAGCGCATTTCGAAAACGACGGCTGTTCCTGTAAAGCAATCTGATCAACGGTAACCTTACAAATAATTTAACTTCCATAGGTCATATTATTCCGTGCGCCGTTCTCTTCATCCAGAGATGAATTTCTTCTGCTTAGTAAACAGGTGTTTATCCTACTATGGATTCCTGGAATACATGGCATGGTGCAAAGAATAACTTTAGAAGCCGACCTTATTGAAGGCCATTTTTGAGTACAGTGTGTTGTTTGTAATAAAAACAAGCGTTCTGCGGATTTCCGACATGTAATTCACAAAATAAAGGAAACGAGTTCACTATCAGCCTTCCGAATAAAAATCAAGTCTATGGGGATGAGGACATGTGCCGAAATTCTTGTCCTAGGAAACTGCTTTAAAGCAACTGAACTAAATTTATCTGATTACTTGCTCGTTCGCCATGTATATGCAGTAGATTTTTATAACAGCCCTGTGATTATCCGGCTGCATTCTTCGAATAGTAACATATTTCTTCAAGGCACCTTCAGCCAAAACACATTTGTTTAGCCTCGGAGCGTCTTGACTTTAACCTTAAGTCAATTCTTCGAGCCATCCCATCTTGTAGTGATGTTACCGTTTAAAGAGACTTTAAAAGCTGACACATAATAGGTGATATAATGTACAGACTATATTTGACGAAATTCCTTCAGTAGCAGATATACTCATTCAGTTGTTCTACATCCTGAAAGACTCCTTAGGATCCGCTTCCGTACAAGCAATAATACTGATCTATTAATTGTGCTTTGTCACCCTATTAGTGTTGTCACCTAGTTTCTGAACCACACTGATTGTCAAACTTTTGCTATCTAAGAGCCCCATTTGGAACCAGAGAGTGGTTTGGAAACGCGCTGTGAACCTAGAGCTAGCTTTATAATCCACGTTATTCACGAAAAGCGATTATAGGAGAACACATGCAAAATTAGGAATAGAGATTGTTCGTTTAGATGCGCGGTGCACACAGCAGACCGGCAGATAATTCATACAAGTGCTTGGTCGGCATTGTGATTCAAACCACCACAATACATTCCAGCATGTACAAAGAATCTCACGCAAAAAGTAGAGAAATTATAGCCATCAAAATTCTGTCCGAGAAGAACGATCCAATATGCAAGATACCTTCACTAAAATTATTCTTTTGTAAAACAGATTTCCCTGATCTACGCAATTATCGCGCGATCAACCATACATCTTCCCATGTTGCAAAGTCTTCAGTGTTGCAACTAAATAGAAAAACTGACCTGAAGAATCAGTTACATTAAGGTCTTAACGACGGAAATATTTTCTGATGGGCAGCCAAACATCGATGCCTAATTAATCTTCTCAGAGGTTTGTGGTACACACAGATGATTTCTTAAACTTTGTACAAAAAAGGTCAATCTTGAATAAGACTTACGTGCTGAAAGCTTCTAACTATACCAGTGGTCTCTAACTCCCAAATCCTGTTGACCGCATTTCCGGCTTTCAAATACTTAAATAACTCCAAGTTATCTCTCTAAGTTATTTTACTGTGCCTTGTTCAAAAGTTAAGCAAACATTTATGAAATATACACAGAAGAACGCAAATCTATGATTTTCCAACAGCTCGGAACACCATGCGCTTGGATATAATAGTAACACCCATCTAGCCCAAAGTCTGCAATATGCTGGATTACATTATATCCGTCAGAATTATAACTTTTATACACACCAAACTCAACCAAAAGATCAAGCATCGGCTGCAGTCAGACGAAATGGTTGGTTGTGTGATCTGCTGGCGCGTAAGGCATTTAAATCTGGGCATCAACACAATCTTCCACACCGTTTTGTATAGATGTTTGTTAAGAATGCTCATTTTGATGGGTAATTGGCCTCTCCGCTAGTCTCTCATACAACTTGTAAAGCTGGACACTTTTGATTTTTCACTCTTCAGTATTACTCTACTACTGATCACTGAATCAACGTGTCTTATGCAATATTACTGAGATTTTTATTTCTTTGTTGCCTTGAGAATGGCTGGTTACCATCGGCACTTCTCGCTTCTAGGTTCTAGCCATGAAGTTAGACACTCCGCTTCAAAATGGATGAAACGCTGGAAGCCGAATTGTTCAGCTCGTTGCTTCCATAATGATGACTGATGAAGCACACCATTGGGGTCACTCATCAAACAAGGAACCAGTCAGGGCAAACAGAGCGAAAGTGGTCCTTTTTACCGCAGTTTTGTAGCAGAAAGTAATTAATAATATCCTTTATCCAGCTTCCTAGCGACTTTATATAAAATTCGATGTTGGTACAACGATGGACAAAATCCACATTATTGAGTCGCCTATAGAGACACTTGAAAAACCACCCCGTCGAGGTGAATCGCCAATGCTTCATAGTTACACCTCTGCTCATGCGGGTGCTTCAGTGTTTTTTGTGCATTGCAATCGCATTTTTTCTATACTTTGCGTCCTCCTTCATAATTCCCCCTATCTGCTATTCTTCTCAGAGGTCCCACGACCTACTTCTATGTGAGGCGAAAAACGACTACTTGGTCTTTAGTGAGATTGAACTCAAGCTGCAGTTTACCATTAAACGCAACCATTACCATTCAACCAACACCAACCTTAATTTAAACGGGCTTTTTGCGTTCATTCAGTCCTACTTCTGCATGGACACACCGATCCGAGTTCAATCATTTGGAAATTTTTGTACATTGTCTGTAAACCGGCTTCATCTTACTGTTTTTAATTGAGCGTCACCTGTAACCATAGAGAATTTAAATCTACGCTAACCGCTGTTCGAATCCAAAGCTGAGAGTGCTGTTAACCGGAAATCAATGGTTCTAAGTATCTGTGTTCCACAATAGCGCCATTTTATGCCAACTAATTGGTAGGCTTCAAACTAAATTAACATTTTCGGAATGCCGCATGTTCTTGTTAAGCGGAACCAACTTCCTTACTTGTATGTCATGGAAACCTGTCTTATTCAATGAGTGTAGGTCTTCTTTAAGTTCACTTTTTGTCAGCCGATCAATAAGCTTCATCAGAAGGGATTGCATCATTGCCAGCTGCTGCGATACACTGGCAGCTTCAAACAAAGGCGTGGTCATGACATTGTGCAGCGCCGCACATGAGTCCATCTTGGCCAAGCAATGAAGTGCTGTGAATTATTAAGTTTGTGAAGCAATTGTTAAGCGAAACTCACGAACGACGTATATCTTAAGGTTATCTTCCTTCAAAGCAAGCTTCCACTCGTCATCATTTGATATGGTGACAAGATCGCCATCTCATTATGACTCTTTTGGCGTATGATTCAATCTTACCGGAATCAACGTATTTGTAACAAAGTTCCTCTTTTTCTGGAAAACAGCCAGTAAAAAGTTTATGCACGACATGCGTCATCTTGATAAATGTATCACAGGTGACATCCAAAAGCATCTTCCTGGTATCAGAACCATATCTGAATTTGACGATATGGCCAGTCATGGAATCATATTAGGTGGTTCTTGAGTTTCGAATTGATGAACCTTTATGCGCGCGAAATCGCCGTACAACTTTATCGAGGCACTGTTTTCGATTGGTTCCCAAATACTAACCTGGTGCATTAAAAGTCTATCATTTAGTTCGGCAATCTTTTCCTCAATTATTGAGTGTACACACTGGGACGGAACTAAAGGCTCGTTGGCCCGACTGGATAGTATTTTACACTGACGGCAATTTATGAGTGAATAGATGAAAGTAATGGCAATAGTTGTCCGTTAATAGTGGTAGTCGGGAGCATAACGTGAAATCCATTTCAATCCGTGGGTTACATAAATTGTCGGTACTATTGAACATCACTCGGTTCAAGACTGGAAACCTCGGGCTTAGATCTTTTGTACAAACCCCTCGACCCTACTGTACTCAAATGTGTTTTTTCGTGTGTGTTTGAGGCCCAATTGCCGCGCACTGTTCTCAGCTTCACAAGAAAGTATTTATGTTATGAGCTCATTGTAGTGTAATCTCAACCGTGCTCTTTTCGCAGAAGCCTCTATAAATTAACCTACCTCAGCTAGAGACGACGAATGAAAACGAAATTTTCGCGGTGAGCAGGTGCAAATGGTTTAGCGTTGGTTCCTTGATCCCGTCCCTAACCGCCGACATTAGATATGTGTCTCTGAGTTATTGCTTCTCAGTCGCACTGAATTTTTCTCTGTACGTGAACGTCATCCAAATTCCAGTTGCTATTCTTCGGCTTTTCTCATACTCCGAGGCACTTCGCGCCCATTTCGCCGTAATTCAAGCTATACTGGAGATAACTGATAGCTTCATGCGTCGAACAATTTTACCGGAGGGATTGGCAGTTTCAGCCAGCCTACCTGCGGTAAAAGAACTCTGCTTGGTTCCGGCGCCTACTCAGATACCATCAATCAACAGCGTCGCTTGTCAAAACAAAGCAAACCCTAGCGACATGTTGAAAGCCACCTCGACTTGTCGGGTATCCCTCCCAACCTATTTCTGTGTCCGCAGCCCTCGGTGATCTCAGATGCTTGAGCCAGCGCACTGATAATAAAGGTCCAATGCTACAGTAGCAGACATTTGTTTTCTCTGTGGCTGCGAAATACTCTGTCCTCTTTGGACACATCTACTGCGCCGTAGTTCTTCCCCTCCCGATGTACAGAAAAGATAAATTGCGCTTGGATAAAATTAGTTCCAAGAGTTTGCATACACAAACTCCTCCTGCGGTACCAACCTTTGTTTCATGAAATTTTGTTGATTAGACCAGCATTCAAAAGGCCCTCAAACCACGCAAGTGAGTCAACCAATATTAGCTTATCTCTAACCAACGAGGTTGCAAGCCGTATTTTGCCTGGGAGTATTCGCCTCACGTAGACAACTTTCTTATGAAGTGATCGGATGAGAACACTACCCATCAAATTCCGTGTCAGTAACAGACAAGCCACCACAATAGTCTAAAAAAGTATAGTGTCACCCAACCCTCAGAGTCTACAGCGAGGACTCACTAATGCGCCGCTCCACAATACCTCTCTCTGTCTTAGCTTTTTTAGAGCCAACGAGAGGTGTTCATCATAATGCTGAGAAAACGGTCGGTCGTCCAAACTGGCCCTACAGCAAGTGGTCCAAATTTTGCAAGGCTTTCGCATTTATCGAAGGGTATGATCAACAATCTATTCAGTTCACGCCCCTGCACCTGCCAGGAAGCACCCATTAAACATTTCACGCCTACGCAGGCTCTTTTCTCGTCAAGCCACACATATTTTGTTCCGGCTGAACAGAACGTAATGTCAGCGGTGATTGGCCGTCTTTCTAACTGCACGCTATTTAAAAACCGGATGCATATATAACCAGATTCGTTAAATTAAACGCAACTGAGTGTTGGATAACGATGATTTTGCGGGAAACTAGGGCGAAGCGATAAGGTAGAGTCCACCTGAAGTTGCAGCTTTACTGGCTTCAAAGTCACCAACGAATGCGAAATACTTGACAAACATCAACGAAGCATGTTAGCAATGGCCATTACCCAGCCAAAATGCCTGTCTAGGCAAAGCCGGGGGGTGTCGCGCTGTGTCCAATGCGAGATGTCCGGTTAGTTGAATATGTGCCGCTGCTACACCCGACACGCGATCCCCAAAGGGTATATAAACGTAACCCTAACAAAAACTCTATTAATGAGAACAATGGTTGTGATGGTTTAAACTGAATACAAATCTTCTTCACCGTCTGCCGTAAAAAAATGCCCTTCCATCTGAGACTAAGCAAAACGTACTTTCACGTGCTCGCTACAAGTCCGTAACTCCAGCAACCTCATATTGTGATCCCAGTTCGTACAATCCTGTAGCGCACAAAACGCTTGAAAATTTCTCCCATCCAATCTCCCTGAACTCAGCTGCATAAATTCAAACGTCCCGCCCAATCCTGCCTGATATCCACTGACATTTTATTAAGATCGCATCACCCTATTTCTACCTCATCCATTAAAACACTTCGTTGCACATACTATGAACTTGATCTTTGTTTCTCACATGAACAGTATTGTCATTTATTTAACTTTACATTTGCGTACACTTTTCGAACTGGTTTTCTCACGCGTGATAGGCGTCTCTTTGTCTGTCGTTGGCCTAACTGTCGGTCGATAACTGTCAAGATTTGTTGTACACTAAGTGATTTGTTGATTTTTTTCATATAGTACAGCACATTTTCGTCGGAATCACTTTCGTTTCGAATTCGGATCCATCCATCGGTGCTCGCTGCTCGACTTATCTGATTTGTCGCTTACACAATCCTAAGCTATCACTCCTTATGCGTTTAACACATTCGCCTCTGAAACGCTCCTTCCGATCAGCTTCAAAATATCATACACTATCACAGGTTTCCGCAGTTAATTTTTCATATATACAGCACATTTTCGTCGGAATCACTTTCGTTTCGAATTCGGATCCATCCATCGGTGCTCGCTGCTCGACTTATCGGATTTGTCGCTTACACAATCCTAAGCTATCACTCCTTATGCGTTTAACACATTCGCCTCTGAAACGCTCCTTCCGATCAGCTTCAAAATATCATACACTATCACAGGTTTCCGCAGTTAATAAATAACTTTCCTATGTGTGGAACCACAGCCGCCTTTATTAATGCCCAACCACTACGGTCTGTTTCATACATATATAACAAAACCACCTGTCATGTGTCTTACTGTCTCCCTAGTTTGCTTCAGGCAGTGGTTGCCCAGAACGCAACATACGCCCGGAAAATCTGTTTAATGATTCGAAATTGGCGGGCTGTTGCATGAGCACATTGTCCATAGAATTCATACGCACAAATTTGTGGTGCTCCTCTGCATGGCTTGATGGTTTACTCAAAGGCATACTCTCTGAATACCTTTGTTGGCTTCCCATGGTCCTATTGATAGCCGCCTCCGCACTCACTTCCTGCGTGACCAGTCATTTTCAGTTCCCGTTTGCTGTTTCCTGTTAGAACTGATTGAGCTGTTTGACTAGTCTAATTTTTTCCAGACCAGGTACAAATATCTAGTGTTAGGAAATCTTCATTGTTGCACGAGTAGGAAATACGACTAGCTGGCGGCATGCCGTCTTGTGCATCTGGTATCATGCACGGGGGATGGAGACCATGTTTGGTTTTTGAATGCGTCCTCTAGGGAGGATTCATGGATTCACGGTTTGATACACAGGATCCAAGCTTTCTTCCAAGTTTCCCTGGTCTATTTCGTCGTTCCGTGTCTGTCGTTCACCTTAAAGGCACGAGTGAAAATGATATAGCACTGCTCTTTGTGTTCTCAAAGCGGACAGTGTGCTTGCCAGCGCGAGGACTGGCATTATTAACTGTCTGGTAGAGCTCTGAACTGGGTTCTAGAGTGGACAACCGTCGGAGGAAGGTCATTCCACGTAGCTACTACCCGAAATGAGAAAAAAATTTGCCTAACAACCGAGTGCGTTCTGAGCTTGAAGAGCTTCCTCCTATATTCCCGCCGCTTGTTTGCTGGGTCAACGGTAAACACCTGCTGGTTAAGCTTTGTGCAAGCGGTGCATAAGTAAGAGTTAGGTCCGCTTGAGGCGACGATACTTCAGGTGGAAGTGTTTAAGCACCGCGGGACGCATTCCGTAGTCCGCAGATGTAACGCCGGCGACCGTTCGTGTAGCAGCTCCCTGGACGCGCTCACTGAGGGCTATTTCATTCGTGCGTCCTGAGTAGACAACCTGGTTATCATACGCAAGGAGCAGCCTGACGTAGGCCCCACAGAGTAGTTGGAGCAAGTATTAGGGAGAAAATGCGCCAAATCGCCCGTATAATAGCGAATGACTTCTGGGACGATCTCTCATAGTGCAGTAAGAACGATATGTTCTAAGGTAGCCAGGGACAGATCATTTTGGTGTCTATCCTGGCGATGCATTCCGTTTCATTCTCACCATGCATGATAAAGGCATTCACATGTACCCTCCAAATGGCATATGGACGCACTCTTCGTCATTGGGAGGAAAATACCAGCCCGACGACCAAGGATTTACAGCGTGTACATCCATTCAGAGGACAATGACGTTGTACCTACAGGATTCTGAGACATTCTCAGAAAGTGCACACGGACGTGGAAGAACATCTGGAAGGTCATTGACGTACATCAGAAACAGCATCAGCATTATCATAATCATCATCATTGTCAGCTGTAAGACAATGACGTCCTACAGGATTCTGAGACATTCTCAGAAAGTGCACACGGACGTGGAAGAACATCTGGAAGGTCATTGACGTACATCAGAAAGAAAATCAGCATTATCATAATCATCATCATTGTCAGCTGTAAGAACAGCGTACTCGTCGTACACTGGTTGTAGCTGCCACAGTTTCGTTCACCGATGCCGTCTGCGTACTAGATGTCTGCGAACGGAGGCCCAGGGAGCACTTCGACCTCACAGGCATTAGAGGCTGGTAGTGCGTCTTCCATGATCGTATCAATGACAAGGTTAAAGAGGAAAGGTGAAAGAGGACAACCCTGTCGGACACCACTTGATGTAGTGAACTCAGGAGAAAGCTTCCTTTACACGGCCGCGGGAGTTGGCGTACAGCGCCTTAATGAGGTTCAAGAATTTATGGGGGGCACTTTTGCTCCACAGACACTGCCATTGTGCTTGGCAGTCCACTGAGTCAAAGGCAGCTTTCATATCAAGAAAAACAACTTTGCTGGTTGCTGGAAGCAGTGTCGCTGTTCCAAAATCCGTGGGAGGGTGAAGATGTGGTCGATGCAGCCTCTTGCAGGACGGAACCCAGCTTGGTTTTCACGAATCTGCCTCTCCCTGTGTTCAGTCGAACTTCGAAGGATAAGGCCAGAGGGCACTTTCGATGCCACTGCTAACAGGCTGATGCCACGGTGGTTTTCGCATAGCGTCCGTGTACCCTTCTTGAGGACAGGGATAACTGTCGACATGCCCCATTCTGCAGGCACTTGCTCTTCGTCCCACATAGTACCGATAAGCTTTGTCAAGGGGGTCGCCAGGGGATTTCCGCTTTCTTTGAAGAAGGCTGGATACATACCGTTCGGTCCTGGTGCCTTCTCACGTTTCAGCACGGCTACTTCATACCTTATTTCTTCTTCCGAAGGGCGATCAAGGTTTACATTCCACTCGCCCGTATGCACTATCTCTACCAGCTGTGTTGCAAGGGGCCAGCTGAACTGCTCTTCGAAGTGTTCAGCCCATCTCTCCAGTCGACGTTTTCGCGAGTGAATTAATGAGCCATCTTTTTC